ACTGTTGTGGTTTTGCTTTTATCAGGATGCCAGACTCCTAATCTCTCATCACAGCACAAGGTGGCAACACTGCACCATCTGTTCTTCCAGGACAAAACCACTGAGCTTTCATTTTACTTAACAACCGAACAGGTAGGAACAGCATGCACCGTGGCTATATTTTCACAGTTTTGTGACAATCATTTCAAAGACAGCATGTAACCCATCAGCACGCCTGAAAACCTCAGCCCAGAACTCCTCAGCATCTTCACTAACACTATGCTCAGAACAACTCAAAGTCAGGTCGGGCAGAGTGAGCTTTCCCTTCACCCCCAACTTCATACTCTCCAGTCTACCTTTCCGGTCACCTGGCATCACCTTGAGCATGCAAACATGCTTCACTGTAGAAACAAAAGCTTCTCGGGTTGCTCTTATTCCTTCCTGAGGCCAGACTACTTACTCATAGCAGTATCACAGAAATGTACAACCTGCTGAAGAGAAATCTAGCCTCTGACATCTACTGTATGTGCTCTGTGAAATGGTGAGAACAAAGCAAAAATGGTAACGTTAGATGAACATACTAGCCTTACTGTGACACCTAAAAGGCAGCTATTACTCTTTCTGCATTCAAGACTACAAAGAATGGTTCCAAAAGTCCATTTAAAACTGCTGGCTTGTCTTACCTGCCTGTAGAGTTAACTGAGATAAGGAAGACCAGTATTCAGTACACTTTCTATAGACAGCCAATTTAGGCCATATAACTACTTGTGTCCTTCAACTGCAAGGGTAGCCAGTATCTGGTAGTCTTGGACTAAAGGCGGTCAGAATGGCTCACTACTCTCTGAAATGCAGATGCCATAGCAGGATATTAGAATATTGTCTGAGGATTTCTAGCTATCCCAGCCATACACCCAGAAGATTATAATACACTAATACAAAGCCAAGTTCATCTTCAAAGAAGGGATAAATTGATCTTTTCCTTTCCTCCTGCCTGTTGATGACTCCCAGCTCTTCATGCTCTTGTTTTCATATCTACCTTGTGAAATCCATCAGGGTGTTTAAGAAGATTATTTATAGCATTAATATTTCTCTGTATGCACATATATATGGTAGCACAGATTCTTCATATAGCCATCATGAAAGCAAGCTAGCCCATGGGACATTTTGTATATTAGAAATAGAGCTAAAGAATAAGCACCGCTTACACGTTTGAGTTTCAGACATCCCTTGCTACTAGCTAGCTAGAAGAATCTCTGTGAAAAATCTTACAGAAAATTCCCTGTGTAGGTTTATCACACTGAAAGCTCTTGACAGGTAACTCGTTAAACAGGATTTTAACTCATATGCACTGAGAAACCTCTGACCATGCTTTGTGTATATGTAAATAGTGTCACAAAAGCAAAGTTAAAGGACAGAAAGGCTATACTTGAAGTTCTCATACATATATGAAAACTTGAGAGAGAGAAAAGGGGGGGGGGGAGGAAAAAACGTCAAAAGCATAAAAAGCTATAATACATGTTAGTTATAAAGCTGAGCCTGAAACAATTACCACATTAGCATGTTTGGGAAGTGTACAAGGAGATGAGTTTACAATCACAAATACACACACACAAAAGGCGGCAAGGATGTGGCTTTGGATCTTTTACAGCTATAACCTGGAAAAACACCACTACACTTTGAAATTAATTTCTCACCCAAAAGTCAAGAAATGCCAGCACCTGTAGAATTAAACAGTCCCTTAGCTAAAAACCTTGCCAGCAAATTCTGCTCCTCCAGGTACCATTAAAGAAGTGACTGGCTTCTTTTGTGGGACCAAACACACCACATTGCTCATCCTTGGTAGCAAAGGTTTTCTTGCTGAACACCTAGTCCTAAACGAGGTGATTCTGTTAGCAGATGGGAGGGAGTCAGAGCAGCTGTCTTCACACCAGCTGTCAAACAGATTTTGTTTTTGTAGCGCAAGTCATCACCCTTCTGCCTCACAGCTATGCTGTAAGGAGTCTAATCATTGTGAACAGACACAGTAGTGAAAGAGGGAGGGTGAAAACATAAAAGAATGATGGTGGACTGTTACAGAAGTGTATAACTAGGGGACAGTTCCACAAGAGGAACAGTAGTGCAGTGAACTAATAATTAAACCAGGTTTCCAACTCTGTCCTGTGTCAGTAATTTTCAATTCACTAGACATCAAAGTGTATTTCCACCTTTTCCTCTGTAGGGACAGAAACAGTTTCCCTTCTTTCCCCAGCTGCTTATTTTCATGAAACTTAGGGAAATATTTTTTCCCTGGTTTGCTGCTTCTCTGTCAGCTCTGATGGAAATTAGCCAGTAGGTTCAAAAGTCACTAGGAGCAGGGTTAGGTTCTCACACAAAGCAGGTTTACAGTGCACAAACACATTTCCTTAGTAAAACAGACTAAGGATCTTTTCTCTTCCATTCCCCATTTGCTGGAAAGGGTTAGGAAGTATGGAAAAACAGCTGACAAGAAAGGACAGGATTCACTTGACCAAAAGACGACACCAGAGTAGGACAAACAAGTAAACAGCCTAAAAGTATGTACCTATTTCTGTTCTCTGTATACAAAGAAAGTCTAGGGAGACTAATTCAGACTTAAACATCCGCAGTGTAGGAATCTGAAGCGAGAGGTATCCCACAACCAAGGACATCCCTGCAGGATGCCAGCACTTCCAGCACTGTGCTTCCTTTCCAGAAGGCTGCCCCCAGCCCCTGACCCAGCAACAGCAGACGAAGCCATGAAATTTGCTTCAGTACTGTTTGGTATTGTTCAGCACTGGCTGATGTTAAGATTAGTGGCAGCTCTCTTTCCTACTCTGCTGCTACTGCTCCAGTCACTCTGAAGAGTCAGAGGCAGCACACTGAAAAGTCAGAAACTTGCTCAAATGTCCTGTATTTATAGGGATGCTTATTAGATAGCACGTGAGCTATCCAACACTATCAAGAGCATATAAACTCATTTGGCTTGTTGAACAGACTAACTTTTCAAAAGGATGCTTTATGTAAATGATATTAATACAGGTGTTCACGGCCAATTAGCAGCAAGGTGAAACTGGAACAGGTACAATTTTCTTTCGCATAGTGTTTGGGTAACACTGCTCTCATATGACAAAATAGCTACAGGCTCGGGGCTAGTCTGTCCTTGAAAAATATTTTCTGGCTGTCAGAATGCGCAACATGATTATTGCAGTGCTACAAAACTTTGCCACTGCCAGCAATCTCTGCTTTGGAGTGCTGTGAACTAAATGTGAAAACAAATAGAATGGACCTGTATCATGCCTCTTTGCTTACCTGCATCACTGCGATAATTACATATTATAGAGGGAAATGATGCATCAGGTCTCAGGTGTTTCACACGCACTAGCTTATTTTCAGCAAATAGGAAGGACCAGAGCCTGGTTCATAATGGAAAAATCAGCTTCTGGAAGAAAGCCCTGCAGTTTTAAGTGAGGTTTTGGTCTAATGGCAAAAATGAGGCATGAAGGCAGGGCCCAGATGCATACTTCCTGCAAACCAGCCACTTGCACTCACCGTCTTTTATTTACACACAGACCACATATCAAGGATTTTCATCAGATTAAGCAGGATGCATAGCAGGACCTACTATAGATGCTATTGGTTAGTCAAAAGGTTTGGAAGCAAACCTTTCAGGCCTAGCCTTGTTCAACCTCTGCACGTCCTACAGGCTACACTGCTGCTTTTCTCCAGAAATTCATATTAATTCCCTTAAAGAACTGAACAGCACATAGGACTAAATCATCTATTACCTTTTTTTCTGGCTAACTATGATCTTCCACCAGCAGATCAAATCCGATTTGTTAGAGACTGGCAAATATTTGGTATCTATCTATCTATCTGCCAGGAAATTTGGAACCCTAGTACAAGAGTGTAAAACACGATTAGCAAGAGAGAGTTGCTTACTGTTACTGCTCTACAATGGGTGTCTTGTCAAGTGTCAATACTGCAAATATTTCTACGCATATTCACACATGTGAGTAACTCTATTGACTTCAGTGCTGGATGCAAAGAATGTAGCCTCAGAAATGTGATGGAAAAAAGAACTTTTCTCTTTGGCATGAAGTTAGTATTTGAGCTGACTTTAGTGCTGTGTTTCTCCAGAACACTCACATTTTACTGTCAGATTGTTTCAATCAACCACATCGTACTTCTGCTCCTAAGAAAATAAATTGTCACAAGAGAGAAATCACTACAGTAGAGGACTAGCACAGCGCTCTGCAGGATGTGTGACTGCAGTGGACAAGAAGTCCACCAAATAAATAAGCTAAATTAGCAATTTTAATAAATTTTGGTCTGCAAGGAAGATGCCTTATGATTCAGTGCATGCTTCATACAAAAAAAATCATCCTTGCATACCTAAAAGTCAGATGCTAAGTAACAGGCCTGATTTCCAGAAAAATACAAATGCTCACTACCCTTGAAAGCCAAGTCATTTTTATTTGAATTTCTATCTGCAAGCACTGCTATCTGCAATGCACAGCAGATCTACGGGAAGTAAACTGTAATGGTATAAATAAGCTAATTAGCAATTTTAATAAATTTTTGGCCTGCAAGGAAGTGCCTTATGATTCAGTGCATGCTTCATACAAAAAAAATCATCCTTGCATACCTAAAAGTCAGATGCTAAGTAACAGGCCTGATTTCCAGAAAAATACAAATGCTCACTACCCTTGAAAGCCAAGTCATTTTTATTTGAATTTCTATCTGCAAGCACTGCTATCTGCAATGCACAGCAGATCTACGGGAAGTAAACTGTAATGGTAATTTCACTTCAAAATTGTACCCATTTTTCCAAACAGTCCTGCCATAGCACATTATCTCTGCACAGTGTTTGCTTAAAAATATTCAAAGATCCATAACTAAAAGGAAAATAAATTCAACTCCTGCACACATGCAATGTGTTTGCCAATACTTACCAAAAGATTCTCTGGTTTGAGGTCCCTGTGGACAATGTTCTTGCTGTGAATATAAACCAGTGCTTCACACAGGTCAGTGATCATGACAGCCGCATCATGCTCTGTGAACTTCACACTTTCTATGATTGCATCAAATAAGTCCCCTCCTGGGACATACTCCAGGATTAGGTAGATCTCAGCTTCTGTCTCATACACTTCAATTAAGCTTACTATATTGGGATGAGAAAGACTCCTAATGATCAGAATTTCACTTTCCATCATGTCCTCTTTCCCCTTCAGCTTGGATTTATCAACAATTTTCATGGCATAGATCTGATTGGAGTCGCAGTGGCGACATTCCTTCACCACTGCAAAGTTCCCATCCCCAATAGTTCTGCCAATCTCATACTGTTTTTCCACATCAGTTCTGTTTTTAATGGCATGCCTCCGGCTTGTGTTTTCCAATCCCTGAGCCTTGTTTTCTTCTTTATTCACTCTGCGCTCCCCTGTTTTTTCTCGTCGTGTCACGTCACTCTCTCTATGCATGATATTCCCCTCTCTTCTGGCACCCTCCTCTTTAGCCCTTTGTCCCTCTCTGCCCTCCCTATGTGTTTTAGATGGTTTCTCAGCATCCCTCAGAGTGTCTTTCTTTAGCCAACCACTTTGGTTCATTATGCAGCTACTTCCATTCTCTTCCTTCACTTCATGAGTTAGCTGCAGCCCTTCTACAGCATTCTTCTTGATTTTCACTACTTCCTTCCCATGGTTTTCATGTTTCTCCACATCCCTTTCCTTCTCAATGCTCCTTTTTTGCTTCTCCAGCCCTTCATTAACATTCTTATGTAGGGGCTTCCATGTCCTCCTACAGCCATTATCTTTCCAACCAACTTCTTCACCTTCCAGACAAGTTTCTGAAGACTTTTGGCGATTCCTGATTTTTGCGTTTCTTTCTACATGGTACCTCTGACATGAGCCTCTGTTCAGGTCTCTGTTCTCAAATGAGGCCTCAGCCCGCCTTTCCCTTTGTAGCTTTTGTCTGGCCTGCCTTTCCTGTTCACACTTCTCACACCTCACCACCTCCTCTGAACTCTCTTCTAATCCCTCCTCAGGACTCCTCTCATGGTTAAGGTACCTCTCGCTTTCTCGGGTTTTTCTAGAAGGCTTCACTCCTTGTTCACCACCCCAGCTCTCTCTAGTCCACTTTTTTTTGGTTCTCATTTTTTCTTCTTGCTTTGTCTTGGCTTGACTTCTTCCTTCATGTCCAGCTACCAGTTTGGGAGATATGCCATCACTGCAGTTCTTGGTAATTTCTGTCTCATCAAAGCCACTGTCCACTTTCGAAGCCTTGTCATACAACCTGCTCTTCAGTTTTTGGGACTGCTCCTCATTCTGCTGAACGGCAGCACTGGCAGCATAAGGATTTTCAGGATAAAGTTCTTGTAATACCACTTCCAGGTTCTTCAAAGTGAGGGGCTCCCTCCCCATAGCTATGAATGCATCACCTTCCCTGAAGAAGTCAGAAACGCTTCTGATTTCTCTGCCTCTCAGATTGTAAAGCTTTCTCACACGGTCATTCTTCCAGCGTGGAAATCCCAGAGCTTCTGAAATGTCAGCCATCAGCTGTTCAAAGGTCTGAACTGATCTCCTGTTGAGAAGCAAGGTTATCCTTCTGAGTGTGTGTCCGCCAGGTTTCACCACTGTAATAATCCTTGGCTTCACAGGACTGTGCTCTGAATGTATCGTGTGAAAACCGTTACGGGGATTAAAAAACGGGGACCTATGATTGCTTTCACTCAAACATGTTTTTCCATAGTTTCCACGACCAATAGGAGGACAAGTCCCGTGTAGTTTCCTCTCTTTTACTTTTGAGCTTGCATGGTGTGACGAATGGTCAAACAAGCCTCGGCGTCCTAAAGGAAACAAAGAGTGGGCATATAATTCATTTTGCATCATCAGATCTTTCTGAGTAACAGTTTCCTACATATCAGACTACATGACCTCAGAGAGTAAGGGTACATGCATTCAATGCTTATAAAGAACTTTAACTGCCATAAAGGAGTAACTCCACATACATGCAACTACAAACATTTTCAAGTTTGTGAGAAAATGTAAATGCACATTGTGACAGAGAAATGCTATTAAAAAAATAATAATATTGAAAACAAATAGATCCTTCTCCTAAATCCTCCCATCTTCCAGAAATCCTCAAAAAAACTGGGTTACTTGTGCCAGGATTGCATCCAGATTGTTTAGCAGACTCTTATGAATCTACCTACCATGATGAACTCACTCAATTCCTTTCTGAACCCAATTAGTTTTGGCCTCCGTAAACTCTGTGGCAACAAGTTCCACAATTACATTGCATGAAGTAAAAGTTAATTATTTCTGTTTTAAAATTGCTACCAGATGGCTATGTGTGTGCAACCTTATATTCTTAGAAATAATTATCTCCTCCTCACTTTCCCTGGACCGTTCATTTAGTTTCTATTCTTCTATAACAAATCAAGTAAATGAGATTCTTTTTAAAAAGTATTACTTTTGCTATAATTTTACTATTAAATGTACTATAAAATTGCTGTAATGTAATTTAATTTTTTCCCTTAAAGAAAGGCCATCTTAGTTTTGTTTGATAATTGGAGTCCTAGTTTTCCAATATTTTGGTTTGACTTTTTTACTCTAAAAACTATGTAAAATCACACAAAGTCCTGAATATCCTCTAGGGACATTAACAATTTTCCCTCCGATAGTTCATCTTAGAACACCAACCAAAGAAAACAGCACCATTCATTACGTGTAATTCTGAAGAGGAAGAACTGAAAACATAACAGGTGGTTATGGACAAGCCAAGCTATAACATAATTCACTGTCTATAAACACAACAGTAAGATAAGAATAAAAATGTCCCGTTAAAGTACTCTGATTTCTTGTACTTATTAAGATTAAAACTTGATTACAATGCAATTCTTTTCAGCCTCAAGAAATAAACTTTCAGAATGAGATCACAGAGTGCTTCCAACTCCATTTAATAGTTTTGCAGTTCAGTTGGGAACAAACATTCAATGTGTATGAACTAACAGGATCAAGACAAAAGAAAGCAGCCAGAATGATTACTGAACCATTACAAGGAAATTCGCATACACAAATGGCTTATCTCCCAGAAAATCCCACCCATTTTCATACATTACATAGTCACAGTGCAGTGGGCACATCCACAAAGGAAAATCTGCGCATGTGAGCATTCCTCTTGGTGCTAGGGTTAACAGACGCATGTTCAAGAGTTCTGGCAAGTTAGCCTACTACATTTTGGTTTTCAACTGCTGAAAAGCCATTTTCAGTATTTCAAGCTATGTGGTTTTATCTGTCCTTTTCATCAAGGCATAATAGAGCAAAGAGGAAATACGCCTCCTCACCTACCATAACAAACAAAAGGGAAAACTACAAGAATTGCTGCAGCATTCACTCACTCTGCCTCAAAAATAGCGGATCCAAAATGCCGGGGGTTGAGCGGGGAAAGCACATGAGGAGACACTGCTACAGACTTCCACTCTGCTGTTGGCTTTGTTCGATGTACCATGATGGACTCTTCTTAGTTGTAAGACTCTCACCAGCTAGATGCTGTGTGCCCCCCCAGCGCGTTCCTTAACTCGGCTTCATTTTCTTCCTCTGCCAAATGAGATAGATACTTCTTCTCCAAATAAATATTACAAAGAAGCCCAGCTGCCAGCATGCTTACTGAAGACGTAAGCATTATATAAAGAGCTACGTGTGACTAATGCTTGGTGGTTGTACAAGTTATTTCTGTCTTCATTCTGCTTGATCTCTTGTTATCAAAAGATGACTACATACGTGCTAGTGACTTTTCAGCAATCAGATATTTACATTCCACCCAGAATAAAGCCTACTGTGAATGGGGGGGGGGGAATTAATATGTAATAATAGTTCTCTGAAATCTAAATCAACCCCAGAACATGTTGGTTACCAGGAACTGCCGAAGCTCTGAATTTAATCAACAGTTCCAGATTCTTGCGTACCTAGTGTCATCAAAGCACTACCTTATGGGAACAGCGCATGACATTTTTACTGCTTATCACCGTGGTACAACATAAAACCAATGTTGCACTAATAATGACTTTTCCCACAGATTATGTTTCTCCCAGCTATGCTGCTATTATCGCACCTTTCTGTAAACCATTCATTTTACGTGCCTGGCTGCACTGTTGATTGTTTCAATTATCCCAACATCCGTTATGTTTCCTTTCTTCACTAAATTGGCTAAGCTTTAAACAGAAACCAAGTGTATTTTTTAATTCTATAACTTCTAAGAGCAGTTTTATGTAGTTATTAAGACAATCCAGGAAAGTGTTTTTGTGCTTTTTAAACTGGCTGAATTCCTAGCCAAAAACAGTTTGACACAAGCCACAAGTTAATATATAATCATTTTAGGAATAAGAATAATACCGCATATTTTTCTAAGATGAAAAAGGAAGTTGCATGAATGCTTAAATCAATGCATAAAGGAATCTCCTAATGTTTTCTGAGAAAAGGGGAAGAGTCAAATTTTGTCAAAGTGGTGATCAGAATGACTAATCCATACATTACATAAAATAATAAAATCAATTTCAATTGCCTGTTACAACTATTGCAGTCATAATTTCTGTTATTTTCCAGTTATGCTATATTTATTTTAACTGATACACATTAAGCAAGCCTCAATCTGTCAGGAAAGTGCACACACTTAAAGCAGTAACAAGTATTTCTAGAAAGCCTTCAAAGGTCATACACATACACAAATCCTATAGCGACAATTTATATTGCTTCAAAATCTTCTTTCCATATTTATATGTAAGTGGGAGAGGAAGGAAGAGGGAGGTGGGATCAGAAACACCCTTCAATGAGTCTGAGTACTGGAAAATTATACATCAGAGAATAAAATGTGTTTTTTCTTTTACTGTGTTACTGAGAGCTAATGGTTATCAAATATACATATTTCTTATAAGCATTAATACGGATGGATGCATGCATCTGTCTATTTTTTTCCGTATACACATCTATCTACATATGCTTGTGTATCACCAAGTATCAATATATAGGATGATGCAAAAGATTAAGAAGGCAGAAAACCATAAGGGAGCAGCATGGCCGAGGAGGCTGCTGGGGACTGCTGCTGTGGAAGGGCAGGGGTAAGGCAGCATGGCTGGTCAAGGGCACCACGCGTGCCACCTAAGCTGCACACGTGGGCACAGAGAAAAGAAAACTGGGACTCACAGAGCGATACAGAGTTCCAGATGATGAAGACATGATGGTCTTGTAGGGTAAATGATCACACCAAATCCCTAGAGAAGCAGGGAGGATGGGACAAACAGGGATTTGGGGGCTTGAACAGGTAGCAGGAACAAGAAGTTTAGTAGCTACTGCCCAGAGCACAAGTGCTCCCTGGAGAGAAAATGGTTGCTGCAGGGAGCACAGCTTCTGTGGTTCATTTTTAAAAGCCAATTCACAAACCATTTGTGATAGTCACAGTCAATCCCGCTGAGGGAGGAAAGGCATAGGGGGGAAACCACAAAAATTCCTCTAGAAGACCTTTCCTTGTAGGGTTTTGGCTCATACTCTGAACCTGGAGTAAAATAAAATTAAATCAGAAGACTGAAGCTCTGAATAAGGTGTGTATACAGAGCTTCAACCAATTTATATCTTAAGGAATTGCCTGGCTACACCCCCTACAACAGCAGAGTAGTGGGGTTTGCCAGAGGTCACCTATTCTTGCAATTAAAAATGTATTGCTGCCATTTCTCCTTCAAAACTTATCCCTTCCCTTGATCAGTCTATAAGTTTTTGTTCATTAATTAAAATATTTCCACTCATCTTGCATTCCTTCTTGGCTCTCCTGCTTGAGATCATAGTTTCAGTAATTAACTGAATGGTTTACCCAGCAGCTAATTCTGCTATCAAGTCGCAGGTTGCAGCGGAATTAAATTTTTACGAGGAGTATTACAACACAATTTAAAACAGAAGGCAACACTGAAATAGGATCTAGTTATGGCATTGCTTTCTGTGAATAAGATGGTGTTATTTAAGCCTGCAGTTTACTTAGAGGGCCTTGGGTCAATATGAAAGCCTCCACCTACAAAAGCAACCGTGAAAACTCCCCAAAACATTAGCAGCATTCTTCACGCAAATGAAGTTGCACATGACAGAAACTGTGTATCTGGGAGTCATTGTGCTATATTGGTCCCAGTATAGCATAAACAAAATACTGTTTCAAATGGGAAGGGAAAGAACAGCACTAAAAACGTCTCTCTTTTCCTCAAGCCCCAGCAATTCCTGCT